CCACTTCTTTGTGAAAGCAACCTCGACGAGCACTTTGTTTACACACATGATGGCTTTGCACTCTTACAGCGAAGCGATTGCACAGAGAAACAAATATATTAAGAATGATAGCTACATTCAACAGAGCCTAGAAGCGCACTATCGTTCCGTTGCGCACAAGTTCTTCAGAAGCGTGAGACAGCGCTAAAGTTAACCGAAATAAATACTGGATACCTGGATATTGCCACTTAGGACCCCAAGCACCTCCCCCCCCCCGGAGCGGGATCTCAACTTAAAAGAGAACTTCGTATCCTGAAGCTGCAAACTTCTGGATTTGCTATCTACTTATTCGTACAATTCCTACGATCCTTCGCTATGAAAATATTTAACAGGAGGGAGAATACAGGAAGCATTTTGTAACTTTATTCCTTGAAGATCGTCGGCCGCCGACCGTCATTTCTTCGAAATCATTTTTCTTTCTTCGAAGTCAACGAAAAGCTTCCAAAGTTGTACTTATCTGAATTAACAGTGCCTAGCATGTTGCTGGTAAGAACAAATGGCGTATTAGGGGCAAGAAATTTGCGGTGAACCACAAATCGAAAGTCGGGGTTTATCGCAAAAATTGATTTTTTCAAAAATTCATTGTTTTTATCAGCAACATGCTTAACATGTTAAAAATCTTATACTTTGAAAGACTTTAACTTAACTTTGAAGAAACAAAAATGACTCTAAATTATATACTGTCCGAAGCTTTGAATCATTAGTGGAATATATAAAGAGCTGGGAAATGCGGCTTGCACAACTCCTCGCTCCTGTACAATATGTTTATAGTGAAGGATGGTAGGAATACTTACGGATAGGTAGATAGCTTAAAATCCAGATTTCCTTTGAGGGCCGCATGCACTAACATCCCCGCGGGGAGGAGATCGCAGCTCAAAAGAAAGCTTCATATCCTGAAGCTCCAGATAACTGGATTTCACGTGGTGTACGTAACCGTAAGCGTAACATGCGAGTCCACCTCCTTGGCGATGAGACTGCCCGAAGCTTTGCGCAACAGCTGTTGCTTCTTGGCGAAGGCAGAATTCCGATTGAACCAAGTTCTGGCTGGATTACCTTTCCTCCAAATTCTGCAATATAGTTCAATCGGTGGGAGAACTGATCAAAAAAGTATTCTCAAAGATTGCCACCAACTTCAGCAACGGGGACTGGATTTGCGAGCGAGCAATTCTGGCACCCAAAAATGAGCAAGTGAATTCTATCAATGCGCAGATTCTAAACAGCCTACCTGGACGTGTCAACGTACACATCCGTTGATACGATGGTTCAGCGTGATCAGGCTGTTTACTTCCCCGAGTTTCTTGTACTTACTCGAGCTCAATGGGTTACCACCTCACAGAATTGATCTGAAGGTTGGTTTGCCAATCATGCTCCTTCGTAATATCAATCCACCGAAGATGTGCAATAGTACAAGGCTTTGCATCAGGGATCTCATACTAAACCTCATAGTAGCGACCATATTGGCGGGGAAGTTCAAAAGCGAAGTCGTTCATATTGCACGAGTCCCTTTGGTCCCCTCCGATATGCTCTTTGACTTCAGGCGAGTGCAGTTTCCGGTCAGGCCTGCACTTGGTATGACGATCAACAAAGCGCAAGGATAGTCTCTGCGAACAGTAGGAGTGGACCTGGAAACTCCCTGTTTTTCGCATGGTCAGCTGTACGTGGCGTGTTCGAGGGTCGGGAGTCCGGCGAACCTGTACATATATGCGCCCAAAGAAAGCACAGCTAACGTAGTGTATCCGAGGGCGCTAACATGATTGCATGCCGTAGTATAGTACAGTATTTATTTGTTGCATGCCATTCTCTTGGAAAATCCAAAAAATGGCAAAACGAAAACCCAAAAAAATGGCGGCCAGCGGCGGTCAGGGCAGGTGGGTGGGACAAACGAGGAACTGGATGGATCCAATCGAGCTTCCTTCCTTACTGATGAATTCCGGGAAAGCTTAGGACCTATTCAGCCAAACCGTCTAAGGGTAGGAACGAAAAGGTACAACTAAAGAGCCGAAGTTGCATTCCTCTTTTTAAGGGATACAACCACGGCTTTTTTGACCGAAGTGTATGTAGTGCCGGACGGAGCCGGGTATGCCAGCTACTGGTTGATGATTTTCAAAGACAGTTTCCGGGCAAAAAGTTGATTTTGAGATTTCGTGCTTGCCCGGGCATATTCGCTATGCAGAATCCGAAAACCCATAATGGAGTGCTTCGGCGAGAAAAAGCTCTAACGCAGAAGAGAATCAGGAGGTGGGGGGGAGGGGGTCTTCCCCACTGTGAATCACTCCCCCAACTTCCGGAGCGATTCCAACTAGCCCTACTTGGAACAGCGCTCTCATACTTTGCAGCACCCGGCCACCAGCGGCAAGTGTTTACTCTACACAACAAAGGAAGTGAGCATTGACGTGTTTAAGTCATACTTCTGAGTGTCTGCCATACCTTCAACAGCAGCTGTCGATACCTTTTCTTACGAGAGCTACCAACCTCGTACGTACGCCCAAATAATCGTCTTCTACGAGTCCATACTTGGAAAAAAAGGTTATCACGTAGCCTGAATTTTGACATCCCGATCCTGTTAAATGATTGTAATTATGACGGACTGCACAAATAGTTTGTGATATGCCTGGAAACTTCAGAGACACGTGGATATTTGAAGTTTCTCACGGCAGTGGTTTCTCTAATTCCTTGGCAAGTGACAAGGAAGTTCCACGTATAAATAGCATTTGGCTTCTATACTCATATCTTGCCCTATTCGAAGGCGGTCCTGTCATACCTTTCAATCTGGGAAAACTTAGAGCGAAGGTAGAATTGAATTCCACGGCATTTCGCACAAAATTTGTTTTCAGTACCATTTGAGTTCTACCCATTCGCGAGGTAAGTTGCTCAGGAGATAGCTGTTCGTTGTTGAAGCCGGAGAGTACATGGAGAGCAGACTTTTTGTGGAACATTCGCACACCTTCAAAAGAAAGTAGAGTACTGTAGAATTGACTAATTGATCGAAAATACTTTAATCATCATGCAGCGATGTCAAACCGATCGAACACGCTCAGAGGCTGATCATTGCACTCTTTGAGTAGTTCCATGGTGTAGGTGCTCTCGATGGGGCAGGAACCCGGAGACTTCCCGAATAAAAAACGCATCCCCACGTCTGATGTAGCACAACGTCACATCCTGGATAGAATCATGTTTGTTGCAGCGGCCCTCATAAAAGTACTAATCGCCTGGTCCCATTGTCAGATCAAAAAATGCCTACAACGTGCCTCTTTTGTAACCAATCAAAAATTCGCGTCCCTTCCTTCTTACGTTGGACAAAAAGTAAATGTAAGCATTGTTCTGTATGGTCACCAATTACCCTGTGTTGGATCTGTTGCCAGTGAGTCTAAATTCGCAGTTCAGACATGATGAACATTTCTGAAAGCAATTTTTTTGGACCTAGCCAACACAGCAGAGGTAGACGATGAGCCGTCGTAGATGATCAGAGCGTCAGTGGATGCAAGCGAGTTCTCAATCTGGGACAGAGTTTCTAGTTCAGGTTCTCTGTCTACTTTCCACACACATACTGGACTTACGCTAAGCGTGATAATTGCTGCTTGAGAGCCTATACGATGGCACACTCGGTTCCAGAAGGGTATTCGCACAGATTCGCGGTGGAGAGGATGTCTGTGTGTAAACCTGCTCTGCCATATTCTACCACAAGAGAAAGGAACTAAAGAAAGCATGCGAAAAATTATAAATCGCTAGAGTGAATTTTCAATGGTATTTACATACTGAGTCAAATCTCACGAAATGAGACTGAAGCAAATAGAAAATGAAGTGAGTGTGAATTTGATTTGAAGGGTGCGTCAAAAATATTTTCGTCGATTTTGGATCTGTGGCAAGCCAAACCTCTGAGAACTTTATTTCAAAAATCTAACTGACATACTTCAATGTTTCTGCACAAAATCCGTTCCAAATATTCCGACGGAATCATCGCTTGGAAGTAAGTGTAAATGTGGCATTAGCTTCGATGAGTACTTCATCTTCAAAATTTTTCAAAGGAGACCTCCTCGCAACTCCCAAACTGTTGCTTTCATACAAAGGATATACGAATATATGAATACTTTACAAGACCGCAGAACGTTTCTGAAAATTCCTGCTCAGTGGCATTGGGCGATGAAAACTTGCTCCCCCATAATTTCTGTCGAGCAAAGCGATTTTTGATCAGGCTAAGCAAATTTGGAGAGTATGCCTGCGTAAAGGGTAATTGCATCGGTAAGATGCATTCCATTTGATCAAAAAAAAGATTTTACCTTACAGTTTGGTTTACAATTCTGTCGAGTGCGAAGAGCAAAAAGGAGATGATGTTCTCCTCAATTATGGTCATTGCACGCTCCAGCAGCGATGCAGCTGTGCAGTCGCAAGGATTCGTAGCACATTGGAGGACCGGTAAGTAGATGCAATTGCAAGAGTTTTTGATTCTTTGTTTGCTTTGCAAGGAACTCTTTGAATAGTATCATCACCAATCCTCTGAAATGATTCTTTCTTAATTTCTCAGTGGCAAGAACAAATTGGGTGTAGGCCCTTTTGGACCCTTCGCGCGCGATGCTCGCTTTGCCGCGTGCGGCGCCGCTGGCAAAGCTAACATGTCGCCAGTCAACGGGGAAAATTTTTAGTCGAAGCATGTAATATGCCTGCGTCAAAACCTATCATCATGTTGAACACGAAAGATGTGCAAAAATGAACGAGTACTAACGTTTATGGCAGCGGACATGTTGACCAATCAGAGGCGCGCCGTGATAGCGATCGGTTCAAAAGGGCCGTTTCCCAGCGAATGCCCAGATAAGAAGGCGGCCAATCAGAGCCCGCCCCGCCGTCCTTGGCCCCGCCCCCAGGGTTATAAGGCGGCTGGCTCTGAGGTCGCCTCATCTGTGTTGGGATTATGGAGGCTGTGCGGATCAGAATATGGTATCTGTTCAAATGTATCAATACGATTGATGGTGTATCTGGTAATTGACGACGATAAAATCTGCAAAACCCTACGAAAAGCCCTCTCAAAAAGACCACGAGGAGCGAGCAATAGACAGCAGCAAATGGAAGAGACTGATATGCCTCCGGCTAAGAGGAGGTGAGCTTGATAAAAATGAATGTATTGACTAAACTTTGAGTTGCAGATGTTCATCCAATCCGCTTAAGCCACCTCAGCCTAAGCCACCTCCAGTCAAGGCGAATATTCTCACATCGGTACCAGCCGCTGGACCTGTGGTGAATGAAGAAGCTAAGGCGGATCTGGAAGTCGACTATATTGTAAGAGCCGTGCGAGCTGTGCTGCAGGAGAAAAAGAAAAATTCGAAAAAGAACATGAATCCGCTAGTGGATGAAATCTCCAGCCTCGACTGATTTGCGAAATACGTTGTGAAACTATTATTGTGCCATTGTTGTTAATAAAAGAAATCTGCGAGAAATCTGTATTATCGTACGTAAGCAGAAAAACCGTTCAAGTGTAGGTGAAGACAAAGGAAATGTGGTTGTCAAAAGTCCGTGCGTGTCGTGCGCGGTCGCGCCATCGTCACGATTTTTCGAACGTCCTACGTCTGTATGTCTGTCTCTATGTGGGTATAGGGGCCTGAGGATCGCGAGAGTCGGACGTGCATACGGCCATTGCGCCGCGCACGTCCGATGTCACTAAAGCATGTGCCAGACTTACCGCTTCAGCCGGTTCGTTCGGTTCATAGGTCAAACCACTACACTGTTCAACAGCAAAGTTGTTAACCGAATGAACCTGTACAACAGGATAAGTCTGGCACCTACCTGTGTCGTCGGACGTACATCTGACGTGCGCGGCGCAATGGCCGTACGCAATGGCCAACTCTCGCGATCCTGCGGGCTATACGTATGTTTCGAATAGAAAATTTCATTCTAAACTGTTCTGGACCAAACTTGGCACACATATACTTCGGAGCGAGGCGGGTGTCGTAGGCTACTCTTCTTTAACATGTTTCGAACCGGTGCTGCACATGGCGCAGCACGCTACTTTGAAGGATCTTTTTGTTGTTTACAGGAGATTTTCTTTTAGTCCAAGGTTATCAAGACAAAGGCCTAAGCTTCTACTATTCAGATGACTCTGTAGAGTTGTACCGCCGATATTTGTTTAGGAGATATGAGTACAAATCGAACAACAGTTGCAACGAAGTGCGGCAACGCGAACGACGCGTGCGACGTCGCAACTTTCCTTTGCTTTGATATGGAAGAGAAAAACCGTAGTTCCAATACTCATGTGCATGTCTACAACATAGATACTTTTGTTATACTACTAGGAACTGAGTTTTTGTTCCTATCTTTCTGTAAAGCACAGAAGTCCTTCACAAGCGACAACAATTATAAGCTCCTGCAAGACGAAGGCGGTCGGTTCGATGTGTGACGTGGTTGTGACGCGGCTGTGACGCGGCTGTGACGCAGCTGTGTCGCAGCCGCGTTGCACATCGAACCGACTGCCTTCGTCTTGCAGGAGCTTAGAAACATGTCGAATCCACTCAAAACTTTGGGTATGGAAGTTATCTGACAAGCTGATTACAGATGTAGCACACAGTCTACGAAATAAGGTCCCTTTGTTGGCTAATGATTGAAAGTGCACTCTTTTTCGCCGTGCGCGATTTCGCGGTCCGAAACGTGTTAGCGATTGATGTCTATTTCATCGATTGCGAATGATTTTTTGTAGAGTTTAACTTGCGGGACTGAGATTTGGCACAGGGGGTAATCGAGCATGCTGATTACGAATACAATGCTAGTTTGCAGAATTATCAAACACTTTTGTCGATTTCACCAATTTTTTGCGAAGTTTGGGCTACGGGACTGGGAGTGGGCTCAAGGGGGGGGGGAGTCGAACATGGATTACGAATACAATATTTGTTTTTGAAATTATTTGTTACTTTTATCGACATCGATCTTTTGCATTTCTGCAGTTGTATTCCTCTTTTTGAGGAGAACAAATCCGTTTTTTTAGCCGAAGTGTATATACGTGGTGCGGGGCGGAGCCGGGTATGCCAGCTAGTATGTATATATATGTAGCTTAGTATTTACCAACGTTTGTTACCGGCTCAAGTTAGTTCATAAACTTTTAAGTTCACTTTTTCAACCATTGTTAGACGTTTACTCTTCATTACAGTAAGGCCAAGCTTTTGGCTCTGCAAAAAACTCTAAGCAGGCATATCTCAACAACGAATGCTGCGCGAGCTCTTGTCTGCCATTCTGCGAAGATTTCAATAGATATATTATGCCTGAGCAACCGAGACTGCATGTCTAATCTGCTTCAGAAATGGCAAGAACATTAGAGATGGTCACCATTTACTTTTGTTGATAAACAAGAACAGGAGAAAACTAGTGCATTGCGAGAGTGGTAAGTGGTAACACAGAAGGTGAGGTGACGTATGGGAAGCATTCCATACTATATACTTCGCATGCGTTGTTTTGCAATGATTAATAGTATGGAATGTTTGATGACCATCCTTCTCTCAATCACAGAGAAAGCGCTTGTATGAGATGGTATAGTTCTAGATGGGATTCGCCTTTGCAAACAAAATACAAAACTTCTCACAAAGAAGAAGCTATTTGAGCGATCCGCCCATGGCTGGTGCAGACTTAGCGACTTGCTGACTGACTTTCAGCAAGGTCGCAACGATATACCTGCTGAGAGTATGCCCGTTCAAAAATTGACGCCGCGATTTGTCGCAGCGTCTATCAAACACAGACGCGGCGGGAAAAGAGAGTTGGAGGAGCGTGTGCTGCGGACACGGAATATGTGTCCGGGTTGGAAATGCGGCGCGACTCATCGCCGGAGGTATGCCTCAAGCCTTAGGCACAAATAGTGACTTATAAGCTTACCGACTTTCTATAACAGACTATTCAAGCGTATACAGACTGATGAGGGAGGAAACAGTCGAATGCTGATTGCTAATAAAATAGCCATGATTGAGCTTTTGAATTATGGACTTCTGGATTCCTTTTGGAAACTGTCCAAAATTGGAATTTAAAGGCAGCGTCCAGGCGAATCTGGACCTATGGGGCTCTCACGTGGAAAGTAATCTTGAGGCCTTAAATAAGAGTCTGCCCAAGCGGCAGTTCAGATAGTGCACTCACGGCTAAGATATTGGGCTCCAAACTATGCCCCGTGATCGTATTCTCACGGATTCATGGCTCGGCATATCAGTTTTGCGTGGATCCTTGCACGAAAGCGCCACGAATCCATGCAAATATGATCACGGGGCATAGTTTAGAGCCCAACATCTTAGCTGTGACTGCACTGAGCTGCCGCTTGGGCAGAGTCTTATTTACGGTCTCAAGATTACTTTCCACGTGAGAGCCCCATAGGTCCAGATTTGCCTGGACGCTGCCTCTAAGTGGAGTAAGGTGACCACGCGTAAGATGGTGCTTATCGGGTAGGTGGGGAGAGGGGAGTAGGGAATGTACACATCAAAAGTTGAGGTTTCAGTTTCCGGAAATGGCTATTACATCAAATGATCGAAATCTAAACAATTTGCGATTATGTTAACATCTAAAAAGTTTTTTTTTTTGAAGGATTAGAATCCGTACGTTTGGAAGAATTTTCGGTCAGGGGCGGGGAAAGGAAATAGATGCGGTAATCTTTTGTTTCGAGATTTTCGGGTTGCTTGTAGGAAGTTAGAGAGCCCCATAATTTCTTGTGCTTATTAACGAAGTCCTGCTACTCAACTAGCTGGCATTTCCGGCTCCGTCCGGGCCTGTCAATACACTCTATAGTGCGGTTCACAATTATACGAACACCCCAAATTTTGAAAGTTTTTGGACCTTTTGGAAGAAACTCAAAAAGCCGTTGTACCACGCGATAGAACACAACCGAAAATGGTATATGATCCATAAGAATGGAAATGGATGTCACTCTTAGGAGCGTTTTTGCGCCTAATGCGATTTTTTAGCGGTTCATAATTATACGAACACCTCAAACAAAAATCCATTTTTCATTCAAGATTACAATCATTTGAGTCCAAGTTTTTTGTAGAGTTACTGTAACAAAGTCTGTCATATCTGCTACACACTGAACCCAGTGCAGTTCAAAAAGAGGATCGCAACGTTTTTCAGATGGCTCTTAATGCTTTTGGAGTGATTGGGCTCCAAAAACATATGTTCTTTTGTGATTTACGCGCTCTAATTAGCTTCTACCAAAGCTATGAGATAAAATAAGCTCTTTCGATAGATATTTTATTTGTCGTTTGGAAAATCTAAGCGTTTTCGTGCCGTATTTCAACCATGTTTCAACCTTGCCTTAGAGTTAGCACGATTTCGAGCCTCAAAACTCAGCTTTTCTCTCGCACAAACATTTGATATGAAGCAGCTGCACTCTTGCATGATGATGTATCCTTGCCAACGATTTGCGTTTTTTGTAGAACTGATCTTGAGGCTATGGAGCAACAAACCAAATAAATGTGATTGCAATAGTAAAAACAGTGTTTTTGGTGAAATGACGTCTGCGTGGCCAAAACAGACGCTCAACGCTGCTGATTTTTTCTAGCCAAATACACAATCTTCTACATACTATTTGCTCACTTCATTGTAGGGCTTTCGAAGCTGAGTTTTGAGGCTCGAAAACATGCTAATTCTAGAGTAAGGTTGGAACTTGGTTGGAAAGCGGCACGAAAACGCATAGATTTTCCAAGCGTCAAACAAAATATCTATCGAAAGAGCTTATTTTACCTCATAGCCTTGATACAAGCTAATTAGAGTGCGTAAATCACAAAAGAACGTATGTTTTTGGAGCGCAATCACTACAAAAGCATTTAGAGCATCTGAAAAAAGCAGCAATCCTCTTTTTGAACTGCACTGGGTTCAGTGTATAGCAGATATGTCAGACTTTGTTACTGTAACTCTACAAAAAATTTGGACTCAAATGATTGCAATCTTGAATGAAAAATGGACCTTTGTTTGAGGTGTTCGTATAATTATGAACCGCTAAAAATTCGCATTAAGGGCCGGGCATACTTCACGCGATTTCAGTCGCGACGCGACTTGGCAGCATTCCAACTGTCCATAGCTCACTGTAGGCACATTTTAAATGTAAAGAAGATAGGGCATTTTATCACTCCATGTAAGTTATACACATTATGCATGAGCAGTTTGTTAGTGTTGGATCTGAAGACTTCTGGCGAATTGCCAAATCGCGTCGCGACTGAAATCGCGTGAAGTATGCCCGGCCCTTTAGGCGCAAAAACGCTTCTAAGATTGACACCTATTTCCATTCTTATGGATCATACACCGTTTTCGGCTGTGTTCTATCGCGTGGTACCAACGGCTTTTTGAGTTTCTTCCAAAAAGTCCAAAAACTTTCAAAATTTGAGGTGTTCGTATAATTATGAACCGCACTTTATAAT